CATTATATAATATATAAAATCAGTCCTGATCATAACTAACAAATGTTTAGACCTAAGAAAAGTAATGTCACAATCTGATTAAAAAATAACCAAAACGACTATTTTAAAGCCAAGACTCCAATATTAAAGCTTAATAACATACAATGAATTCATGCTGTAGTGGCAGGAGGATCAGCAGTTTTAATGTGATTCAATAAACAATTTTTTGTCCTTAAGGTCCGGAGTGTAGCTTTTTTGCACACAGTTTATTATCGATGAATTATGGGAGCTGAGGCTGAAATGTAAAAATACACACCTTTACCCAATTTTATGCCATATGTAATAATACAGCCAAATTTAACAAAAAAACAAAAAAACAACTTAAAAAGACAAAACTGTCCCTGTGGTTACATGAGGATTATTATTGTTAAAAATTAATGTCGTAATAGTTAATCCGTCTTTCCTCATCATATTGACTTTAACCCTGTAGGACCCACTGTTTCAAAATTATATACTTAATTTTTAGCTCTAAAAAAAAAAAAATCTGTAAATGTTTTTAAACACCACATTTACATAGTCGGTGAGTCCTTCTGTTCAGCCTTGTATTGCTATTGGATCGTCTATGCATATTCAGGTCCGGCCATCAGATCATGAACTCACATAACTTTGCCTAATGCTTATCTGTTTGTTTTATTTGACTGATTATGTAAAGATGTAAGTACAATGCCTTAAATATTCATTTGGTGATTATTGTAACGTCTAGAACATGCAGATATTTACTTAAAAACTTGTTCACGGAACTGAATTTGGAGCTCATTATGTGCAAATCCATATACCTGGGTGAGAGTGGTGGTCAAAATAACTCGTCTGCTTGACATAATTCTTCGAGACGCTGCACTTCTCACATTTTCACATATGGAAAATATTATCATTATTAGATAAATAATGTCTTTGATGATTCACTATAAGTAGATAAAAATTTGTTTTCTCTGGTAAAATGTTTTATATATTGAATTAATTAATTCTGGCTGCAGTACTTCTGTAACAGCAATGCAAACTGTATCATATCAAATAAAAAATACATTTCATTGATGCAGGGTGAGTATGATAAGCAGAGTGTTATATGCACGTCAAACAGTATTGTGTGACTTTAGTGCGGTGTGTAAATATGGTTAGGATTCATTTGCACTGAAAATATTTGGCTTAAAAATACTTGTATTTCCATTTGAGAATACCATTCTTCAAAGGAAAAAACGTCTTTGGGATTTATTATTTATTATTGCAATTGATTAACTGAAAACTCAAATAATATTTTGAATAAAATTTAATGCTGTGTTTTTATGAATAAATGATTACTTATAAAACTATAACCTGCTTAGACAATGTGAGTGCAAATACATAAGCGCTGCTTCCAACTACAGCCAACCCCTCTCACTAATGCATCAGAAGCCAAATATATAACATCTAAGATGTTAAAAAGACTAAAAATGACCCATCTTCCAGTTCCCTCTGGGTAAGGTGGTGCTCAAGAACTGCACTACAGCATTTCTGAGGTACCGACCCAGACAGCTCTTGTTTCATGTATAACTTCACATGCAAGATGGGAAACTTCACTAGATTTAGTATGATTAAAACTTCCGACACCACTCCATTTTGCTATATGTAGTTATATCTCCATAATAATAGTTATCGGTCAAGAAAATCTGTTATACAGGACTGCAATAAGCACGCATGTGTTACTTACTTCTAAATTAACATAAAAGAAAGAGTAAAATCTTAGCATCAACAGGAAAACCACTAATATGAAAACTTTGAGTATTGGCCAATACTGCTATGAAAATACACGACCAACACATGTGTTCCTAGGGGTTGCATGTGTTCTAGTTTTGTTATGTAGTAACACCTGAACATAAAAAAAGGAAATGAAAGGACACATTTAACTGAATAAGTGTAAGATATTATGCAAAACTATTTTATTTACAAAACAAATGGCACAGTGTGACTGCACAATAAATGCACATCCACACTTCAGACAAGTCAAGGGAGCTTCTCTTCCATAAAATCCTAAGTGATTCCAGTCAGACAGTGAAGGACATTTCAGGCAAGATTCACAACTAAGATTCTCACTGAGGGAGCAAATATTGCTCAAGAGGAACAACGGTTCATTACTTTTAAGGCCATTTTAGAGGTCAGGATGAGATGGAGACCAGCAGCAAGTCATTGCAAACCAATGTTACTGATGTGAATTAAACACAACTGGCTACAAAGCGTGTATAATCTAGTGTTCAGCACTTTGAAAGCACTGAATTAAATAGCATCACACAGACAGGGAGGGACACAAACAATTAAAGATTAGAAAAAAAGGAGGATTACTTCACTTTTCACTATTTAAACAGACATGCCTCCATATGAGCATGTGAACAGTATCAAAGACAAGACTGCAAATTACACTTTTTTTTTTACAATTACAATTTTTGCCTCAATCATCAGTAACATAGAGGAAGAAGATTCCTTTGCATTGAAGAAAACAAAAGCTTTACTAAAGCTCTTCAACTGCTGCCAGACAATTTGTATGGAGGCACATATCCTTAAAAGTGAAAATGTTCTATGAAAATAAGAAAACATCAACATCCATTCATATTTACGAGTGTGATATGTTCAGAAATCAAAAAGTGTTCTGGTTTTTTTTTTTTAAGATCTTGAGAAACATTTTTCAGCTACTACTTTGCAGGACTTTTTTCATTGACACGTAGGTGCCTGACAATCGCCAATTGTTCTCAAGTATTTGGCTTGGTATACAACTTGTTCTTAGAGAATACATAAAAAGGAGAAAAATAAACAAAACGTAAACAGCAGGTAGAAATGAATTGGGAGCTGGAATGGTAGCAAAACCGTAAACTTAGATCCATCAACCAGCCAGTTTGCTGGCCACGATGGAAGTCTTTCTTTGAGGCAGGTCCTGAGGTGTTGGGATGTGGTCCCCTGTGATCTCAGTCTTCTCCGTCGGGGCTGATGGCAACTGTTTATTCTTCATTTTTGCCTTGGCCATGTTGTAGTCACCAGAGTCGAAATACTTTTGCTGGACAAACAAAGAAAGCACACAGTCAGAATACTGCAAGACCTTAAAACTGGTTATTTTTAGGTGGCTTGACAAGTTTCGGTCAGAAACACACCCCCTTCTGAAGTCTTTTCCTGAGAAAGTCTGAGCCGCCTGGCTTGGCTCCAAGGTTGGGATACCTGGCCTTCAGCTTGGCTTCCTCTTCTTTCTCTGGGCTGATTACTTTGTCCTCCATTTCCTGTTAAAAGAGCACAGAGTGTATGGATGACAAAGTCTAAAGTCAGCTAACTTGAAAGATACAAAACTTAAGTTTCTGTAGAAATGCTTGTGTTATCAAAAAAGAAGTATCAACATGTTTTCTAACAGCAGCAGCTGGCATGGCTGCTGATTATTTTTCATATGATGCAGGCGCCGCCATGAGGGAAACTCCAACTGGTGTCTGAACTAGCATTAATCTTGCCGTGTAACTTAGCATGATTAGCTGCAGTAAAAAATCAATGTTAGTTATCAACTTATTTACAAGCGTCTGCAGGAACCTGGTTTTAAAACAGTAAAGCTTGGCTTCACCAACAAACGCTGGTAACAAATTAGCTAATTATTTGGCGGCAGCATCGTTGAGGGCATTAGTCAAGATTAGCTACCAGCTAACTAGCTCGGTGCTAGCCGCCTGCTCGTTTACAGACTCGACGTGCTAGCACCGCTGGCTAACTAGTGTAAATGTTGGTTAAATTTGTAGTTCGTCAACACAACTTACCTGCTGCTCTTCCGAAATCCTCGTTCCTTCGACTTCCTCGGACATTGCTGTGCTGAGTCCCCGCTCTGATCGCTAAACTGTGGAAGTAGCTGCACAACACAACCAGCTCCTCTGGAAGATGAACGGTAGCACTAGCAGCAAGCAGGCGGGCGAGGGCAGCAGCCTGACAGGCAGCCTGTCTAGCAACAGGCCGATGAGTCGATGCCAGAGACACAGATGGGAGGGACACCAGGTTCATAGATCATTTATGAAAGCCTTTAGGGGACTTCAGTAAAATGATCATGTACACTGGAAAATGTATTTCCACAATAGCATTATAGATTTAGTTAATGTGAAGTAATTTGATATTGATTTGAAAAGATACCACAAGGGGAGAAGAGTGAGTGATGCCTAGACATGTGTTGAGTCAGCAGTTAGAAAGGAAGATACACAGGAGAATGCATTTGAAAGCAATGTAAGTCATGCGGCATCTTTTCCAAAATAATAAAAAGTTTCATTCTGTGCTTAAATTTTGCATTTTTCCAAAAACGAGGGGGACCCCCAGATCCCCTGCTTAATGTGCCCCCCTAATGCTCAAACAACACCTACAACATTACCTAGACTGAGAAGTATGAAGTCAGGATGTTCTTTTGGCATCCAGGAAGGTGGAACCGCCAACCAGACTGAATTAGCACACAGCAGTCCACACCCAGAATCAGCCTAACCACTGTGGATGATCATCCTGTCAGTGAACCAGCAGAGCAGCCAACACCTTCCCTTAAACCAGACTCTGCTGTGGCTCCAGCTCTACCAGTTTTTTGAGGCCTTTCCTGCTGAGCCTCCAGTATTTGAAGGAATCAAGACTCAAATGTGGTGCCACCTTCCTGCCATTATCAGTGTTTCACTCTGCCTTAGCCAGTCCATCCTCAATTTACATCACATGATAATCTCGACTCAGCGCCTGCCTCCATCCTGATTATCCAGCTCTACACATTGTACAATATATACATTATATCTGTGCAGTGAGGAAAATGGCACGTAATGCGTCTTAACAAAACAACCATTTTAAGTAAGTAGTTTTATCAGCAAAAATCCACATATGACATCAAAGTAAAATGGCTTATGGTTTCTTAGGCTTATATTGGCAATCCATGATTTGTTTTGGCAGCTCTTAAGTGTAATTGAGCTATGGCTACAGTAGGAATGTCACAGAAAAAAATGATAAGAACATTAATTCCCAAAAGAGTCTTTATTACCTCTTAACAAGTTCTGCATTATTGTAATACATTATACTTTGCAACAGGATAAATGCTTTACAGTCCCAACTACCACACAGTAATAGTAATTTTAAAAAAAAAAAAAAAGGGTGGGGAGGGAGAAATGCATTTAAATTGCTGCGGCTTTGAAGGAAGGCCTCTGTTAATGCATCCAGTCCTTTCACAGGCATTTTGAGCTGAATGCATCACTGTGTCCATCGTCTGTCATTTGGAAATTTTAATTCCAAACACAAGAACAATATAATACGAGGCCAACTTGGACTTGAGTTTTATGATACAAATTGAACCCCTCGGGGATGACATTAATTATCTTCATCCCCCATTTCCACATCTTCTTGTAACTTCTGCACCATTTTGTCTTCCATTTGTTTGGCCTTCCCTGCAAAAACAAAGACAAAATGCAAAACATGTTTAAATCACAGGCTAATGTTTAGGACACTCATTATGTAGTATTTTAATCTTTTAACAACCATAACCGACAAACAATCTACCAGTGCTAAATTGTGCATTTATTATCATTTATGGTAAACTTCCACTGGGAGGAGAGGAAAAGCAATAAAATAATAGTTTCATTTTTATGTGAGGACATGAAGTACATCTGGTATCCCGTTACATCTGCTAAAGTCACACTTGACTGAAAGAAGTCAGCATTAAATATTAATCAAATTACTTGCAGATTATTACACATTTCTTGCATATAATTTGACTAACCAGTATTTTCAATTTTGCTTTACCTGCATGTGGCGCCTTGATAAGATGAATGTTTTTCTTCACTTCGTTGATGGCCTCTTCTTTCTCCAACTCTTTGCCCTTCTTTAATCTATACAACAGAGACAAACACCATTTAAGGCAAAAACTATTGTGCAAATACCATATGTCTTCATTTTGAAAATCCATTACACATAAAGCAGCAGCTGCAGGATATATGAAAAAACAAAAGAACTTAAAAGACAATTCATGGTTTGAAAAAAATAAACTGCTTACCTGTTCATGATAAATCTTGCCTGTCGTTTCAGTTTGATTTCCTCCACCCTCTTCATTGCTTCAACTGTAGAAGTTAACAGTAAAAAACATCAAAATGCTGCGCAGAGAACTACATATTTTTTCACATTGTGTTTCAAAGAAGTGAAGTTCTACATTACCTGTCTTGTCCCACAGCTGCCTGTTGTATTTAACAGGGATATTTCTGCGTTTCTCAAACTCCAATGCGTTATCCTGAAAGACAACATGTTGGTTAGATAAGGAATAGTAAAACAAATCAATGATGAGAAAAAGTGTTCTGCAGATAACGAACTCACCACTGTCAGCTCCTTTCCTGATGCCTTTCTGAATGCCTTGGTCCATCTGGTTTTTCTTGGGTTTCGCTTCTTCTTGAAGTTCTTGTGGCATTTTGATTTGCAGAACCTGAATGTCTACATCATATTCAATAATTCAATAAAAAAAGGAGAGGAAAAACATAACGTAAGGTTTGGCTCAATGAGAATGGATGGGACTATGAACAGGTGAGCTGTCAGCAGTACAAACAACATCCTGCATTACAGATTTGATACTATATGTGTTGAAAGCTACAAGCTCTCTATCCTTATGCATAAAGCCACATTAGTTGACATTAGTTTATCACAGAAACATTAGTAACAGTGTTCATTGTCCGACAACAACAAACTGCAGTAAAGAAATGTCAATTTAAAGATATCATTATCAAAAGCGATAGACTGGCGACCTGTCCAGGGTGTCCCCTGCCTTCACCCTAAGTCAGCTGGGATAGACTCCAGCCCCCCCACGACCCTAGTGAGGATTAAGCGGTGTATAGATAACGGATGGATGGATTTTCAAAAGTGTTTCTGCTATGTGCTTATGTTATTGTAGCTACTGTATCAGGTTTTAGAACAACTAAATCAGCATCAACTGAAAAAACAGACACAGGGCTGTAATATTTAGCTCTTTTTTGTGTTTTTAAATTCAGTTTTGCTTTAATGACCATGTACCATTTTAAATGCAATATTTCCAAAGCAAGTTACACATAGTTTATGGCTTAATTTAATAATTTTATTTTTTTTTAAAAAAGGACATCATGCGGTTCACAGTTAAAAAGCAACATTTTAACTGGCAGAATCTGGGGTTTACTTTAAATCACTTCTTAAAACCTATTTTAGAGCTTTTATTCTTCTTCCCCACTGTGGCCAACATGCTTCTTCACAGGGAACATTCAGACTCACTGAGTTTTCCACATATCATGTTATGGAGTCTTAACTAATCCAATTTTTATTTATTTTTTAGCATGTAGACCCGATTAGGCCCAGATCAATAAATACTGTATACTATATACATATATAAGATCGGACTCCAAAATCAGAGACTGTGTTTTACAGACTTCGTAGGACAATCTAATGTAGATTTAATTTGTCTGTAGCCACTTTTAATCTGGACCTGGTCTAATGTGATTCTAATGCAAGGAAATGCTGTGAAATCTAACTTAAATCTAAAGTTGAATAACGGTTTCTGTTTTGGAAAGGAATTTCTGCCAGCACTAAGGAGCATCACATTTTTAACATGGTCTTAGAGTCAGTGTTGCAAGATCATTTTAGTCGTTATCGCATCTAAACGTTTAAAAATAACATCAGCACAGTCTCACCAAATATCAGAAACTTTACAAAGGCATTATAATTTCCAGAGCAAAAACTATAGAGGTGTTTGCTTTTGTGTTTATCGACAGTCTATAATTCAAGGCTCCTGTTTCCACGTCGGAACATCAGAGGGCGCACTTACTCCATCAACCTGGACCAAGCCCTGCTTATTAAATGTCCGGGATCGCCAACAACTCCATTCCTATTAAGTTTATTAATCAAGTATCATGGATGTAACGTGTATAAATAATGACACTAACGGTTCGTGCGTAAATTCCTCCCTACTACGCCAGTTTACAGCTGATTTGTTCATTGTTTGTCAGCTCTGTCTCGGCCCCACGTGAATCCAACACGTTATGTTAGCAAGCTAGCGTTAGCAACCAAGCTACCGGGCCTCCGCTGACAGTCAAACAGGAGAATCTGTAAATTTACAGATTTGTTCAGGCACAAAGACGGCTTCTTACCTTACAGTCGTTCCGTACGAACATCACCCCGTGTCCGGGGTACACTGGTCCCGAGCAGAAGTAGCACTTTTCGATGCGCATCTTCACAGCAGAAGAGCTGCGTGTGGCAGCTGACAAAAACAAGACCGCCCCGTCTTCTTCTTCTACAACTTCAACTGCTGCTGCTCCGGCTTCTTCTTCTTCTTCGTCTCCTGTGACCACTGACAGCTGCAGTTCCCGGTGAGCACCTGCTGCCACCTGCTGGACTTTCTGTTTCAACCGTCAAAGTCTGTGCTGCTGAGTGATTCAAATTTGAATATTTAATTTAAAGTTTTGCAGATTTTTACTTGCTAAGAAAAGACTTAACTTTCACTGCGAAATGGTTTATAAAAATGAAACATTATTCATATGCCTAGATGGGCTTGGACCATAAATATTATAAAGACAAAACAAAATAGAACTTGTGCCAGATATTGCTCAGAAAGCTACAATAACACGAGAATCAATGCAGGGCCTAAGAGAAAAGCAATGACTTTAGCATGATATATTACGAAAAACAAAAACAAAAAACCTCCAATAAAACTGGAATAGAAAAGTAAAAGTTATACTGGCAATGAAACTGAAGTAGGAAAGTAATATTGTTTGCACATCAAGTCACATTTCATTCCATATGAAGGTCAAGAAATAATATTTTAATTTCATAAGACATTATGAAGTCTCTTTGACACAATCACAACAAAGACAGAATATGACATATCCAGCAGCAGAGATAGTCAAGGGCTAATTCTATGTACTTTATTTCTTAGTCTCCCTGCTTCCATGCTTTTTAAATTCTGCCCAATCAATTAAGCCTTAAGGCCGATATATATTAACTTATAACGAAGTCCCTCTTTGGTTGGTCGTTAATTAAACCACTAAAAACTCACCTCTGTGTATTAAAGTTACATATTTAGAAGGGGGGTTTTTTCAATGAAAATGATCCATTCCTGTCTCAAAATGGCTAAAATGTTAATCAGCACCATTACAGATCCACAAAATCCCTGCCTCTCTCTCCATCCTTCCCACTCCCTGCAGCACGAGCACACCAGCTCACCTACAACTCTACTCAAACACTGTAAAATGACTCAACATTACACAATAGGCAAATTGTGTTACTGGAGAAATACAGCCTTAAATGTTAACATCAGAAAGTGACAAAAGAATGATGTGGAAAGGACCACCACACAAGTGGACAGGGTTGGTTCTTCTTCAGGTTTGATATGTGTGAAGCCTAACTCCATGTTTCTGGGACTGTCATTGGAACACTGAAGCTTTAAGGTGGAAATGCTCAATCATGGTGTTGACTGGTCCCTTGCCTTGGCCCTAAGTCAGCTGGGATAGGCTCCAGCCCCCCCGCGACCCTAGTGAGGATTAAGCGGTGTATAGCTAATGAATGGATGAATGATGTTGAATACTTTTTTTGTTTATGATATGTCTTTTAGCATAAAAACACCATACAGACATATTAGTTATTACAAATACACCAGTATCCTTATCCAGGCTAACTAACAGCAAATTACAGTTCAGAAATTCTACTTTGGTTTGAGGTTATTTCAAATTTCACACAACAGCAGTACTCCTAAAAGGAGAAAGTAATGTTTATATCTGTGCACTACATGCATTGTGTGCTGCTCTCTCTTTTTCCCCCTGTACTGTGTTATTTTCTATTCTGCTGCTGTAACACTTAAAATTTCCCCGCTGCGGGATCAATAAAGGTTTAATCTATCTAATCTACTGACAGCTTAATTTTTCAACTGTTAAATGCTCCTCTCAGTATCTTGACCACAATTCTCTAAAATGAATATCAATCAGTTCCCTACCAAAACTGGATATCAAGCTAAAACAGTGGAGTTATCAGCTGGCCTACACTTTTTAACTTTTCAATCAGCAAAACTGGGAACCTTCATTGACAAACGCACACACACACATTTGTCAAGAAAATTGAGAAAAGTCAGACACAAAAGCATTTTTTTCAAGAAAAATTTTATTATCTACTATTTGTCATCATCTTGAGAGTATCAAAAAAGTCTGTTGCAACATTTCAACACATAAAATAATTTGTTTTGTTGCTCACTTTGGTTTAAAAGATGTATTTTGGTATTCAAAAGAAGAAATAGCAAGAAAACCATAACTTAAATAATAACAGTTAAATCTACACTCTAAATCTACATTTGGAACCTGAGTTAGATCAGCAAAATTACCTGTGGCTTCTTGTAATTAGCCTTGCACAGTAATGCATTCTACAGACAAACTTTGAACGTGAAACCATTTGGAAATGTCACATTAAATTGGAAAATGGTTTTGTTTACAACATCATGCTAAAAAGGACAATCTAAATTTTACAATGTGGCCTAAATATCATTCAGGTGAAATTTCATGGTGACAAAAAGACAGCAGAACAGTTTTTGACATCTCAAGCCTAAAAAATAAGAACTATGTAAAAATGCCTTTCTAGTAATGAAACCCATTGGAAATCATATCATATTAAAATGCAAATAATGTATATAATGTAAATGAAAACCAAAGAAAATCACTAAATAACAGAGACTTCAAGATTCTTTGGTTAGGATTATTTGTATTACAAAGGTATAAAAATTGATTATGTTGCTCTTCACACATAGGGTTTCCATTATGATAGTCAGAATCCTTCATTGTCACACCTGGACAGGAAATATTTGGGAGAGAGAAAGAGAATTCTTCCCCATATAGCGATTTTTTTTGAGTTGTGACAGATGATTCTCTGACCAAAGAATAAATATCATCATCATCTATCACTGGCAGGACACACTGGATCTTTGGTCTTGTGTCAATACTTTCCACCTCATTGTACCAAGGATCAACTGAATAAGAAAGCCATACCCATCTGAGGAAGCAGACAACTCTTTGGATAATAGCATCGGCATCACCGCTGCATTTAGCAATGGTCTAGAAGGCAAGTGGAACACAAGCCAAGGAGGCTTGCGCTAAAGCTTTCACCAGAATAAAGCGTTAATAAAAATTTGCACGGAGAAAACCAGCACTCTAAAGGAAATTTACATCATTGGCAAGTAGAATATTTTGGCAAACACACCCTTAATTTACACCCACTATATTTTTTGGTTGCCTTAGAATATCTATTGTGTTATCAAAAACTCTTTGGGTACAATTTTTTTCCCATCTTTGGATCTCATCACCTATAGTATGCAAAGCCCTTTTGATATTAAGGCCATATTAAAGCTTTGAGTTCAGTGCACTGAAGATGCCAAACAATACTGTGTGATAAAGCTCCAAACAGTTTGACAAAACCTAATGCACTTATCATCGTCACAACATACATCATTCAAAGACAAACAATGTCAAACAAAAGCTCTTTCAACCATGAAAAAGAAACTGAATAATAATGTCCTAACAGAGGTAACAAGACATGGCAATGAAATGTTTTCACCTTGTCCCCTGAGTCCGAGATAATACTGCACAATACGTGGCGAAAAGGAGGTAGTACTGTGTATAAAGAACAAAACACTGAGGTAGATAGCAATTAAAAGGACTCAACTACACCCTCCGCTCCAGTGGAAAGTAATTAAATATAATGAAAATGTATCACAACTCATTTCTGAAATTCTCTTTTAACATTCATCATGGGTGAGCTTTGGTTTAGGACAGACAACGCCAAACACAGAGAAACAGGTAGAAAGTTGTTAAAAAAAAATGGAAATAAAATGTTAATAAGAAACATTCATACAAAATCCTGAGGTAAGTCCGAAGCAAATGCACGTTTCTTCCCTTGCAGCAGCTGGCTTCCTGATCCCTTGTCTCTCAGGAAATATCCAAAGGGCTCCACTGAGGTAGAGAACGAGTTAGAAGTGGCGTAGCTTCGGCCGCTGGGGAGCAGACGCAGGCCAGGCGATGTCAGGAGCTGGCTGCTTGGGAAGTGTGCAGGGCAGGATGAGAGCCCTCCGCGGTGCTGCAGAGCCAGGAGGCATCAGGGGCGGAGTGATGGAGGGGACGGCTCAACATTGCCTCATTTTCCACTTCGAAAGACTGCTTTAGCTTCGTGACAGTGGTAGCGTCGTCTGGCCCGAAAGATTCCGGTCTGGAGCTTTGGCTTGTTGACGGGTTGCTCATCTCTTCATTGCTTTCTTCATTGGAGTAGTGTCCAGAGTCTCCTGTCTCTTGGCTGCCCTCACTGGTTTGAGAGCTCTCCGAGTGAAGTGGTCCATAGATGATCTCCCGGGACGAAGGTGGCAGGGGAGCTGAGCCTGGACGCTCCTCATACCTCAGAACTGTTTTACCAGCTTCGTACAAGCTGGCTCTCGTCTCAACCTAAGGAGACAGAAAAGATAAAAGTCAGATAAAAAGAAATCAGTTTGAAAAGAAAGCTTGATGACCAGGATATTGTCACATCACTTACATCACTTTCAGTTGGATTTCTGATCTTGCTCTTGAAGAACAACCATCTCTTGCTTCTGTTCTTGTTGTTAAGAGGACCGGCACCATTTATAACAATATTAGATCCACCCTGGAGCAAATGAGAAAACATAGGAGAAATATGAGAAAGGTATTAACGCTGGACTAAATCTAATTTCAAAAACTAACAGTCACCATAAAGCAGATCACTCTGTTTGGTTTGTCTTACCTTAGCATCAATGAAGTGCTGACTTATCATCGGTAGGAGGGCTTCTACATTCTCTGTATGGTGTTCCCTGGGCAGGGACAAACCACCATGTGGACCTTCAGGACCTCCCACAGCGATGACTTTGGGACTGGAGGATTTTCTATTAGTCATACAAAGATAACAAACAAATATCAGAAACTCATGTCTTATAATATGATTGTAAAATGTCAGTCATTATTCCAAATGATTAGAATCAGTACCTTGGTCTGCCCTTACTGATCAGGATCAAGGCACACATGACAATACAGGCCAAGGCGATGCTCACACCGACAATGATCCCTGTCATAGACTTCTGGTCTATGTGGTAGAGACCATCAGAGAACGCTGCAAGATAAACAACAAAGTGTTTCAGATGGGAAATAAGGAAACAATAGTGTGAGCGATGATTCAGATACAACCGAATCAAACAC